CAGAATGTGTGTTATTGGTTCGATTGGTGTTCTCTTCTTCACTGTCCTCAGGATCCTTGTCGCGGAAAACGACAAGCCTCAGTGCATGACAGGGTGTCGCTATGGCCTGTTTTGGGGCTGAGGTTCCAACACCAAGCTCCAAAAGTTGTCCACAAGACAAAGATATATTGTGAGGTGCTGAAGCTACACAAGATGAAGATTCACACAAGAAACCGTGGTGGCCACAGGGGTCAAAGGCGCTGAGGTAACCCGACGGTAGGGAGTTAGCGATGGAGCAGGTTTTGTGGATAACGAGGCATGGTGAGACAAAGGTATTGGAAAGGGCTACCGGAACAAAGTGAGATCAAGTCAAATAAGAAAGACGTCAGAAATCAGAATCTCAGAAAGACTTGAAAAGGGGAATGAAAACCTAAGGATGATATAAGAAAGACAGGATGACACTTAATGAATGTCAAAAGACCATGCCTGATGTCCGATTACCTCCACATTGGAGTTGATGCACGCCAACGCCGGTAGAAATAACTCGATTTGGCGACCTGAAGATTCTTGAGCCATGAGCTAAATTTAGAGTTGTACGATGGGAGGATGAATGCAGCTGGAAGCTGATTGAGGTAAGGGTGAGTGGGTTTGATACGGAAACTGGTGGGTGGTGGTGTCCTAATTGGTATTTTGTTGATATCCTATATTGTGGGTACTTGATATCCTAGATCGCGGCATGGTGGTAAAGGATTGCTTGTTTGGCTGAGTTTGCGGTGAGTGTACTCATTGAGACATGAGGCGTGGAAAAAAAGGGTATGTGATTATTAGGTGCGGAGGAGGGGCGCATGTGTGAGTTACAGGTAATCAATTTACAATACATGTGAGTGCTCCGATATGGAGGTTAACTCATACAGTTGGCATCGGGAGTACATGTACTCGGGTGCAGGGCCAAAAGCCGTGTGTAGTGGGTAGAGTTAGAGTATACTCTAACTCACTGCTGCATCCCTGAATTAAGTTGCTTCCAACAACTCAAGATCAACAGTATGTTCAAACAGATTCTTTGTAAATTTTGTAATCCTTCTTTCACCTTTTTTTTGTGGACTCAAGCTTACAGAATGGATTAACTATGGAATACTAATTGAGATAAAATATTCGAATTAGACTTCAAAGTGAGAAGTCTTCATCCTCCTCTACCACTGGTCAGCCCTTGGACCCAATCTTACATAATTCATACTCCCAACCACTTTTGGGTTTTCGAGTCATCAGTACATATGTATGTATGTAATATCTCTTTTGAACCCGCCGTATGTGCACTACGGCCGTAGTGTCAACCCAGTTGAGAATTACAAAAGGACACACTCTGCACCCAGAACCGAATTCAAAAACGTCTGAAAACCATTGGAACCAATTGATCTACATATTTGAATGTGTTTTTGTTTGGTGTAAGTCTCCTAGGGTGTTGAGCTGTCTAACTGGGTCAATTGTGTGAAATGAGTCATCCAGAACCTCTGGGGGATGCGCCTTTGGTGAGAGTGATACCCACTGATATTAAGGTATAGGTCCCAAACCACAATTCTAGCCTCAGACTTGCAAGTGGTGACCATAAGTCAAGCCATAATTTTCAAGTGGTACGAGACAACACAAAATCTTTGAATATCCATAATTCTTCTAACTCTTGATACTCCAAAAAATACTCGGATTGAAGCTCTGATAGCAGGCAACAAGGTGCATATATTTTTGTATTTTTTGCTCTCCTCCTGAGATCTCAATATTTTTCTATGTCAAGACTTTTCATTTCCGTGCAGAAAATATTATCTTTCTTGCAGTGCCAATCTCTCAAGTACTCTTGCATGAGATTGGAGTAGGTTACCCAATCTCCTTAAGTTAATCTCTGCTCAGCCGGATAATTCAGACCTTCATACTTTTCTTCATCTGACTCCTCTTCATCCTTCTTCTTCTTCTTTATAGCCTTCTTATTCTGAACTTGAGCTTTCCTTTCGAGCCATGAATGGTTAAACATCAAAATTGGTACATATCCCTTGATTTCCCTAATCTGATTGTCCCAAAAGGTTGTGAGCTTGGGTAAGTGGTGAATTGAAACCTCTCCAGTTGCATACTTGATTCCATTCTCTACCACTACGCCTCTCTTCCGTACCACCTCTTCTTGCTCATCACTGTCTTCATCCATTGGTCTGCCTCTAGGAACCCTCTTTGCAGTTTCTCACACCAGACATAGAGCTGGCTGGGTGGCTACATTCCCTTACTCTTGTTGAGCTGGCGTTCCGATTGGGGCAGGGTGGTTGGGGCCTTGATCTGATGGCACAGCAGGACTTGGTTCTCTTGTAGTACACAGTTTGACTGTTTCACTACTCCCCATATTGCCTCTGTTGCAGGTTGGTAACTGCTCTGTCTCCTTCGCTAGCGCCTTTAGGCATTTGGGCTTGTACCACATTAGGTAACTCGTGGTGAGGTCTACATGCTTCTTGAGATCATTGCTGTCCAAAGCGGCTCTCATTTCTAAGAGGACTGCTGCCTGAGCCGGGGTTGGTTCATTGGACGGGCCAGCCAAGCTTGGCTCGCCATGCAGAAAGTAGTGTGCAGCGCGGCCCTGCCGCGTCACTTCCCTGGACTTCCAGAACTGGGGTGTTACGCCGTGCGCTGATATTTCTGGGACCGGGTTTCTTCCCGCCGTGCTTTTCACTACTGTACCATAGTTACGCTACCTTTGATTTCAGTAGGTTTGAGTTCAATCATCCACAATATAATCGGAACTGGTGCCAGATCTCAAAGTTGCAAAGATTTCCACTCTCAATATGTGGACATGTACCAACCATTGTTTTAACACATTGTTGTATTGACTTTGGGTAAGTGGTACATCAAAAGGTCCTCTTTATGCTTTCTATCTACATCAACTATGTATACTATTTGCTGACTAACTTGGTCTTACTTTCCTTTCAATCAATCAATCTTTGAATCATATCAGCCACTCAATTGCCTTGCTATAACTCATACAACCACTCAAATTCCTCACTGATTGATATCAAACTTGATCACCGTTCAACTTAAATTTGAGCCCAAGACGTTTTAACTTGAAGCAAACATCCAAAATCAATATTGGTTCAAGAAGAAGATCTTGAAGTTGATTTAAGTCATTCAAAAGACTATCTAAGATGGGAAGTCCAAGAAGTATTAAACTTACCATATGAAGAAGTCTCCGAGTTACTGGAAACCTCAAAAACCTCCTACACCTTACTTTCAAACCAGAACCCATCAAAGATTCTGATCAACCAAATCTTAGACATCAAATCTGGAAATTTGAAATGTGGTCCCAAATTTTTGTTCCAACAATGAAAAAACATCACCAATTCAAACTCATCAGAGTAACTTGAATACATTGGTGTTTGGTAGACTTGAAATTGCCAGTGAAGTTGGGGAAGACTTGGTAGAAGAACTTGAAGGAAACAATCCAGAAGAGAAAGGATTAGTATTGGATGAAACTCATATTGGATCAGTGATGAAAAAGAAGCAAATAAATTTGAAAGGCCTTAAAGGTTCAGCTGGATCAGAGTGAAGTACATCAGATTAACTAAGGTATTGTTTCTTTTGATTTTCACTTAAATCACAATGATATCTTTTTCATTACAATCATTTACAACATTGTTATACCGTTTCTGGACCCTCTTTCACACCAAAAAGTGTGAATTTTTGAAATCTGTAGTTGAGTATCTTGGTCTGCTAATTTCAGAGAACAAGGTTAAGATGGACACAACAAAGGTCAAAGCTGTGAGGGATTGGCCGGCACCCCGTAACATTACAGAGCTACAACGCTTCATTGGATTTTTGAACTTTTATAGGCAATTCATTGATCACTGTTTGCACATTTCTCACACAACAAGACCTCTTCACAACCTCACAAGGCTCAATACTCCTTACAAATGCACTGACAACTGCAATAATGCTTTTGAGACACTCAAGGAATCATTTTGTTCAGCACCAGTGTTAAAAATTGCTGATCCTTATAAGCCATTTGTGCTTGAGTGTGATTGTTCTGACTTTGATTTGTGAGGAATATTATCGCAGAGAAGTGAAGATGATGGTGAATTTCATTTGGTGGCATATCTTGCGCTCTCTCGTGCAAGCGGAGCACAATTACAAAAATTTTGATAAAGAGCTGTTGGCCATAGGCCTTCAAGGAGTGGCACCACTATCTCAAAGGCAACCCTAACAGATTAGAAGTCATTGTTCATACTGACCATTGTAACCTTGGAAGTTTCATGACAACTAAACAACTCACTGCCCAACAGGCTTGTTGGGCCAAAACATTGGGATGTTTTGACTTCCACATCAAATTTCAACCAGGGAAGCAAGTGGCAAAAGCGGAGGCTTTCTTGAGACCCCCAGATTTGGCACCGAGCAATGCTGAAAACCTCACGTTTGGTCAATTACTACGACCTGAGAACATTACACCAGACACTTTTGGGGTAGAGGTTGACAGCTTTGAGTCTTTCTGTGAAGAAAAAACCATTGATCTAGACAATGCTGAACATTGGTTTGAAGTGGATGTTTTAGGCATTTCAGAAGCAGTGACCAAAGGACCTGTTGATGATAACCCCGTACTTACCAATGACAAAATCATATCAATGATTGGAGAGTCAAATCAAAAAGATGACCGTATTGTTGAACTGATGAACACCACAGAGAATCCTATTTCCAATTCAATCAAGACAGCAATGAACAACTATCAAGTGAAGGATGGAGTGTTTTATAATTGTGGCTGTGCAGAAGTTCTAGACAACAAAAATATTAAGTATCACATTCTCAGAAGTCGTCATGATTCATTAATCACAGGTCACCCAGGCAAAGCTAAAAGGTTACATTTAAGTTGCAGGAGCTTCTTATGGCCATCTCAAAAAGCCTTTCTCAACAGATACGTAGACAATTGCAACTCATGCTTGAGGGTTAAGGCAAGCAGGAAGAACCCAATGGCACTGGGCAAATGTAGTATTTTTCCCAAGTGAAAAATGATTGACCTGAAGGACAAACAAAATTGAAAAAGGTGGAATTCTGCATTCATTCTTCATGTGCATTAACACTGCATTTTTCTGCATTGATGCTGCATTTTTTTTCATTAATGGTGCATTAATGGTGCATTTTTATGCATTAACATAGCATTTTTAATCATTTTTGACATAGACAATTGCAACTCATGCTTGAGGTTTAAGGCAAGCAGGAAGAAACCAATGGGTACTCTGGAACCATTGGCTATCCCAGCTGGTCCTTGGACAGATAATACTTATGACCTAATTACAAAATTGCCAGAATTCAACAGGTTTGACAGTATCCTGACAGTGGTGGATAGATTAACGAAAATGAGTCATTTTATACCATGCAGAGAATCCATGACAGCAACTGACCTAGCTGATTTAATGATAAGAAATGTATGGAAGCTCCATGGGACACCTAAATGTATAGTGTCAATCAGGGGGAACATTTTTATTTCTCAAATCATTCAAGAAATCAACAGACAACTGGGCATATGGTTGCACCCTTTGACGGCGCATCACCCTAGATCTGATGGACAATCTGAAATAGTAAACAAAGCTATTGAGCAATATTTATGTCATTTTGTAGGGTATTTCCAGGATGATTGGGAAAGATTACTGGGAACGGCTGAGTTTGCATACCATAACAATGACCACAAAGCAACTGGGGTATCTGTATTTGAAGCAAACTACAGCTTTAACCCAACGTTCAACAGAATCCCATCATCTGAGCAGTGCATTCTGATAGTGGAAGAAAGACTGAGTACTTTAGAAGAAGTTCAAACAGATTTGACCGATTGTTTACGTATGACACAGGAGACTATGAAAAGACAATTTGACAAACATGTGCAACAAACACCTCAATGAAAGATTGGAGACGAAGTGTGGTTAAATGGCAAGAACATCTCAACAACAAGACCGTGCCCTAAATTGGAAGACCAATGACTAGGTCCTTTTTCCATGGTATCTCAGGTTTCTCGGTCTGCTTACGAATTGAACTTACCACCTTCCATGAAAGGTGTACACCCGTTTTTGCATGTATCACTATTGCAAAAGCATCAGCAGGATACAATCAGTCAGAGAAAACAAATTACACCACCGGCAATTGAAATTGAAGGAGAAGTTGATCTTGAAGTTTCTGAAATTTTAGATTCAAGATCAAGATATAAGAAGGAAGAGTACTTAGTGAGCTGGAAGGATTTAGCAGAGAACATAATTTGTGGGAGCCAGAATCAAATTTAAAAAATTGTCAAGAGTTATTGAAAGAATTTAATACTAGATTTCCTGATGCAGCAAGTAAATTCAGAAGGAGATGGAGAAGGAACTGAGAGGACAAAGCTTTGTCCCTATTAATCATTGGGTTTTTTAATGCTGTCCGTGGAAGGAACGCGGAACTTGCAAGAGGGAGTTTGGGTGTTAAAGGGGGGATAATGTTATGATTACACATCACCTGAAAGGCCTTGTACAAATGTCACAGGTTTGACTCATTATCTGTTTGCAATTACGTCACATTGTGTTTCCTCTTCTCTCATCCAACAATCACAATAGAAGCTTGATAAAGACATGATCCTTCATCTCTTGGTCCAACCAGTGAGACCAGCTATAACAAGTGCCTGGGAATCTGGACCTCAAGATCTTCACTGACACAACTGCATTAGAACCCTTGTACTGAGGCCCATACTACTGAAAATGATGTACAAGGGAAACAGCATTTCAAAAACATGGACAAATCTGGCTTATTGGGAATGGCATGACGGCACAATCACCTCCTCAAGTTTATCAATATTGTGCAGACTGGGGAAAAGTCAGTACTCATGTAATTATAATCGTATTGATCATAGCAGCTGGGCTCAACTCAACCAACCAATCAATCAACCTCTGCAGGTCTCATTATGCCCTGTCCCTTAGCCAATGGCTCCTTGACCTATGTGCAAAAGAACGGGATGAAGACACTATTGTGGGGGTGCTATACAACATCAGATGTAATCTTGATAAAACCATTAAAAAGATATCAAATTCTGGACATGCTGCCTTTGTTGCCAAAGCTTGCCATTAATTCTGCTTCATGATTGCTCCATCCATTAAGACGCAAGTCTTTACAGACCCAAAGCAGGCTGACCAAGTATGTTTGGGTACTGCTTTGTTTCATGCCTATGCACACAGCTGGGCATGTCAGTTAGAATACAACCCCCAACTTAACGGGGGCTCAGGCAAATCAAATGGGGAGGGTCTGGAACGCGTGTGGTGGAAGATGGCGCCATTGGTGTCGTTGTTGAGGTATGCTACTAAACAGCATTGCCTAGTCAGCTTGGACCTTCGGGATAACCATTCCAACAAGGTGTTCAAGAACAAAGCCGGTACGGACAACCATTTAACTTAGACCCAATAGCTCAAGACCTAATTCATGAGGCAAGTTGATTTGATTGAAAAACATAGTGCATTTCCTCAAAGCAGACACAAAGAAGTATAGCTGAGCTACTCTCATCAGAGGAAGCTCTGGCAAAGCTGCTGCAGGCAAATGAGTTGCATACTTACGAGTATTTTTAGGCCCAGTGGGGCCGCCAGCGTGAGTTGCAACTCAAAGAGATGGACGTGGGAACAAAGGAGAATCAAGCAAGACTCAAGGTCTTGATTGAACTGGAGCAAGAGCTTTTGGAAGCACGGTGGGTGTCTATCTTTCCTGGCCCGTCTGTGGCCAAATCATATCCAAAATCATTTCAAGCTGACATTCTATTGTAGTAAGATAATGAATGCAATACACACTGGTAATGCAGCCATACAAACTGCTGAGCAACGTCAGAAACTGCTTGGACTGCCAAGGTCGCTTGCAAATCTGGAACTCGAAATTCAAGAGGTGGCCCAAGAACTAGGCAATGTCAAGGTTGTCAATGTGAGGCATGGCACTGGTACACCCTGCTTCAAGCGCACACCTTGGATCAGCAGGCTGAGTGACCTCGTTCTGCTTCTATCTAGATGCACGTGCAAACGGGGTGCCCTCGCGGTTCAGGTTGCAATGGGATTCCGTTACAAGGCCAAGTGGGATGTAATGCAACAGCAAAGTAATGCTGCTATCAGAACAGGTAAGTGTTTCTTTGAAAAATATGTTGTCCTTCTGTTCCTGATCATGAGTCATTTTGTCACCCGCAGGGGCGACCCAGCAGCCAAGGAATGAAAATTACAAAGAAAGAAGATGAAGATGTTGAAAGCTAAAACTGAGATGTACCTGAGGCATGCTGTCAGTTAAAACAGGCAATCTCGGCCTGCTCAAAGACTGCCTGAACCAACCTTTGATGAAATCATCCAGATGGACCTACTGGATGCTTTCTGGAATGACAGTGCGCTAAATCATCCCGACAAACCTTGGGCTAGTTGCCAGAGCACCAAAGACGGTATACTCGTGTTTTGGAGTCATTTTTCATCCAAAGAAGAGCTGCGGCAATTGGGGTGTGAGGTCGAGCAAATGATGCTGTGTGGTCTTGATTACCAAAGTTGAGTAGAGGCCTCAAAATTGTCTGAGTCCAACGGTCAGTTTCTTCCAAGTAGCTAGTATATAATGTATATATGGCACTGAGTCTTACCTTTCCACATACAGGAGATATCCAAGTAGTTGAGTGGAACTTAGTCTTTGCTACACTTGCTAAGCAAACATGCAGGCTGTTGCAACGGTGGGATTGGGGTCTGACAGAGGTGATGGATACAACTGCAGCTTTTGTTGGACATGGATCAAGGCTTGTTTGGTTGATGGCAAGCAATGATTGCGAGAAGTGCTGCTATTTGGACCAATTTGCTGGGGGTGCCTATCTTTTTTGTTGAGGACGACAAACTCGACGAAGGGGACCTCATCCTGCCTGACAAAGCCATGGATTGGCAGGGGTTCGGGGTGTGAAAGAGGTGATGGATTCAACTGCACTTTGTAGAGAGCAGTGTTATTGTACATGTCTATAGCCAAACTATCCCATTGTATTGAAAACAGGTACCTTTTCGCAGTTGACACTGCTTAATTTGAATGCATAGCTTGCCAGTGACGTTCACACAAGGCAATCAGTGAGTTGATTCCTATAATAAATGTAGCGTACAATTATTCCTTGGTCATTCAGCAACCAACTAGTAGCTTTGAAGCTTTCGATTGTGGTGTGCTTATGCTGTAGTGTCCTTTCTATCTGAAGTCAGGTGGTCTAAACATTTCTCAATTTGAGCAGTTCAAGGATGATGATTGGGATTTCCAAGGTACGTTGGAACATAATATGACACACTCATATTTCATTGCATGAAAATATCCAATTTATGTAAAAAGTGAATGATAATTAGATGTGTATTATTGGTACGGTAAAAATAGTAAAAAGCAATAGGATTGGGTCAATAGGTATAAAAAAACAAGAGGTTTGGGTCAGTCTGATAGGTATACTGGTTTCTTTTTTTTGGGTTCTGTAAGCCTTATTTTGGGCCTTCAAAAATGTGGCATGTGTCTCAATCAGCGGAGTCCAGGGATTGGTCCAATTTGAGGCTTTGGTGGAACTGAATCTTTGCCATGTAGGGCAAAGACAAGGGGCTGGGAAATTGGGAATGATGAAATTGAGTAATAGGGAGCAGAAGTCATAGTCCGCCCGTGCGAGTACTATTGGAGGGCTGTTGTTGTGGGGCGTCATGTAAGGAAAGGTCATCTGGCTATTTGAACCAGGTTTGTGGTGTAAGACAGGGCGGTAAAAGGTTGTGGCTATGACACCACCCCAACCTGGCATGCTGAGCCGATATTGTTGCTTGGAAGTTACATTGGGTTTGGTGGTGTCGAGCCAAGCCAAAGCAGTGGTGCGGCTTTCATGGAAGGAAGAGCGAGTGGATATGTTTGACATGTTGCTGAACATATCATGCATCCTTTGTCGAATTTCCAACCAGGTGTCCTGAGGTTGGCCCAATGAGACAGCAATTGACTGGAAACCGCAGTGTCCGTCACCTCAGACTTCTTGCATGTCAATGACATAGGGTTTGAGCCATTCATGTATCCGGTACTTGGCAAGAAGGGATGGTAGGGCTGGATTGACAATGCTTGACTTCTGTAGGATGGCCACCTCCCTGTTTGTGAGTGACCCTTGCAAGGGGTGGTGTTTTTGTGGGGGGTGTGTTTGGTGTCTTCGGAGGCTGCTCAGGTTTGTCCGTGAGGTTATTGTGGGTGTGGGGCCCCAAGTCGATTTGGCAGTCAGGAGGCAAAGTGATAGAACCTGGATGTGATGTGTTGGAGCCTACCAGGGTCTGATGTTTTGGGTTCAGAAACGTGTGGGTTGCTGGTTTGGAGGCAGGGAGGGGAAGTGGGGGTGAAGGAGGTCAAGGAAGGGTAGATTGGAGGGCTGGGGATGAGATTGTCAAGGTTCAATGTGGACTTGTTGGCGTCAGCTAAGCCCTGGAGGTTGTTGATTAGCCAATCAAGCTGCAAGTTCATATGTCTGCATCAAGACCTCATCATTTTCTCAAGTGGGATGCAGATGAATATGACTTACTGATGCATACAATCCATCTGGTGATTGAACTGGTTTGTCGCTGGTCACAAGGGCTATGTGAGGGATGGCTTCGAAATGTGCGTGGTAAATGTTGGCCTGGAGTATAGGTTGGCATGTAAGCAGGGTACCTCGAGTTATTTTGTATTAGGGTGCTTACAGATACTTGTTGTTCACATGTGAACAAGGTGGGAAGGTTTGGAATTTCAGGATTGGTGATTGTGGGTACATGTGGCCCTGTGGGAAGGCTGTCTAGGTCGCTCAAGATTGCATCAGTCAAAGTTAAAGCTTTGTGTTGACGGCCTGGTGACATGGCGTGTGGACGTCTAGGTATATTGGCGATCATTGAGTCAATGGTGTTGGTTGTGATGCTGGAGACCGTTGAATGTGTACCAGTGACATCTGGCCTTGTCAAAGGCTGGTTAAATTGGATGTTGAAGGATGGTGAGGTCTCAACATGTTTGAGGGGGATGAAAGTAGTCTTGGTGTGTTTGATGTCGGTACTGTTCTTTGCGGTAGCAGCCTTCCTTGGCTTTTGTGGTTTAATTTTGGGATTGGGGGGTGGTTGTGCCCAACGTGCGTGTGGATAAGTAGCCAGGCATCTTGGTGGGGTAGGCATTGTGCATTGAGTTTGAATGGGCAGCTGATGCGAACTTATTTTTGGTCCCTGTTCTGGGAAATCTGCCTTGGTAGCAGTGGTAGTGGATGAATTGGCTACCCTCCTTGGAGTTACCAATGCGGATTCGGTACCCATGTTGGGTGGTGTTGAAGTCCTTCACATGGTGGTCCATATTTGAACGGTTGGAGCCAGAAAGTTCAATGACGTTTGGAACTGGAAAAACAAACTTGTGCGTTGTTGAGCTTTTGTCCATTTGGGTATAAGGAGTAAAAAGGTGTGTTAAGGCCTAGTCAACTTATTGGTCAGATGATTTATGTCTTCCAATGTTGGTTGCTGGTGATGGTGAGTATGCAAATTGAGGGAGTGACTTGAGTTGTGGATGTGGAGTAGTAAGTGGGAATTTGAGATTCAGAGTTGAGTGAGCTAGTTAGCTCATATGTCAAGCAAGGCATGAGTATGTTGAAGTAGTTGAGTTACGATTTTGATTAAGATCATAACTACCTTAGGTCATGATACGTGTGTTGAGGTAGTTATGATTGTGATGGAGTAGTTGGGTTGCAGTTGGCAGAGTCATGGGTAAGTTGAAGTAGTGACTTGTTTAATTGGGTAGTCATGGATTAGAAGAGGTAGTGATAAATGTGACTGAGGTAGTCATAAACATACTGAGGCAGGGAAATATGTATTGATGGAGTAAGGGGAGTAACTCGAGTCTGCATAGTTCTAAAGGGTAGTGAGATATGATATTTGGGGAGTCATTAATTGGCTGAGGTAGTGAGAAGGTTTTCTATGGTGGTCATGGGTGTGCAGTGATGCATGGGGTGGCAAGCCCCCCCCTTATAGATATGGGGACTTAGAGAGATTTCTAGATGACCCTAGCTCCAGCTAGGACCTACAGGATTCTACCTGCTTGCCTACAGACCTCATTGGATGATACACATGTCTGTATCATTTAATACATTTGGTGCAATTGAGTACACACAGGTGGAAAGGTGGGGCTTGCTCTGAATTGTTTGGAGACAGGCCCCAAAACCACCTTTGTTGCCATTCAACCTCAAATACGACTCAACTATTTGAACACCTTTGACTTTGAACTCCAACATTGGAAGGTGGGGCCTGTTCTAAAACATCTTGAGGCAAGGGAGGTTTTTAATGTTATGTTTTTTCAAAAAATAAATTCGACAGTCGATTGGTACACCAAATTTTTCAGATATCACTTTACGAAGATCTTGAAACGCAGCATTGCGCTCTTCAGCTCGCTTTGCATGGTTTTCTGGATAATAGTTTGGTTGGGGTCGCTCTCGAGCATTTTTTTTCTTCTTAGAATAATTTATACTACTAGATGATCGGTTTTTCTTACCCATGATCTATAACTCCAAAAGAACCATCAAGTTGAGGTAAAGATGTTAGTTTTGAACTTGGAGACCATCAAGTTCAAATCACACCTCTTCACTGTGCCCATAAGATGAGAGCAGATCACATCGAAGACTACGGTTTTGTAATGTCCCACATTAGGAAACCAAATCCAGTTATCTCCAATCATGTTCTTGCCCTCATCCTATCAGCAACCAGCTTCAAAGTGATGTATTTAAACTTGATGATTCCTGTCTCATAAAGAGTGACATGTTCATACCTAATTCGGATAGAGGCTGATGTTGAGATGGAGATAAACGATGACTTTGAGCGGGATCGGTCTTAGACTTGAAGGTTATTGTACAATAGAATAAAGATGATCCAAGACTTTGAAGCGATACAAGCAATCCTCGCAAATCGTGGTGAGAGTGAATAAATGACAAATTTGAATGAAATCAATATCTTGAAGGGGTTGTAGGTTTGATGGAAGGTAAACAAAGATTTTGAGTGATATCGATGTCCTGAATATCGGGATAAGGCTGTATGCGCTCAAATGTTGACTTGGAGCGAGATCGATGTCTTGAAGATCGATTTAGGATCGAATAAAGATCCACAAAGACTTTGAAGTGGGCTTAGTAATTGATAACTTGAAGATTGTGCTGGGATTGAATCGAGATGAATAGATACTTTGACTGAGATCAGTATCTTAAAGATCGTTGAGAAGATAAACCAAGACTTACCGCGATATTGATGTGTTGCCAATTGGTTTATCCTCGATTTTGATTGATAACGATGAGAATCGATAATGAATCAGGTAGATTGATCAATAACCTGCTAAGATTGAGATGAACAGAGAGACTGATGAAGCTGGAATCACAAACGATGTGTGAGATTCAAAATTTGAAATAAACAATATGGATTGGACCTGATTCCAACTTAACTGACTGGATTGGACTCAAGATCGAGCTAAATTTGGCCCCTGCATCAAACTCCAATATGGTCTGTATGGGGACATGTGCCAAGACGTAAGTTGAAGCTCCTGCATATGGCCTATTACTCCTCAAAAGATTATTCACAAGAAGTCAAGATGTATATAAATCTAAAATAAAAAATAAATCACGATCGATCAAAAGATTCAAATAAGGAACTGATCAATCAATATCCGAACAATCACATGTGGTATTAGTAATGATAACAAGCGACAAACAATCGAACATCAGATCACTCTCAAACAAACATCAATGAAAAGAAATAACAAAACTACATAATTTTTTGTAAAATGTTATATCCTACAGGTTGAATAGATTTTTGTTTCTTTCTTATTCAACATTTTCATCATCATCACTATCTTCCCGTCCAAAAACACCCCATAGCTCTCCATACTGTGTGGTGTTTTCAAATTCAGCTACATTATCAGTTTCATTGTCCGAGTTGCTATCCTCAAATTTTTCCCCCGCTTCAAACCAATCCAGATCCAAATCCATCTGACTCCAGACTTCGTGCATTTGTTCGAATAAAATCCAGACGTTGTTTATGTCAAGATCATCTGTAGACCATCCTAGGTCAGATATTAAGTTGTTGAGCAACGAGTTAAAGGGTTCTGGGGATACAATAAACAGGTTATGACAATCAGGATAAAACTTATCAAGCATCTCTTGAATGATGTCATCTGGTACCGGAGTAAGACCTTCTTTGCCATTATAATCATCTGGGGAAAAATAGCAAACATTGGCTGGAACACCAGTTGGAAGAGACGAGTTGTGATTCTTGCGAGTGCGGTAAGAGTTCTTTTCCTCAACATACTCATCCATTAGATGTTGGACAAGCGGAATCCACAAGTGCAAAGAAATCGCCCTGATAAAGTAGTATAAATTAAGTATTATAAAAACTTTCCAACCAGGGAAGGGACCTACTTTTGGAGCCGATCCGAATCATTATGACGTCCCTCATGAACTGCCAGCTTGATAGAGTCTTTGATTGCTATGTTCTTAGCCTTCATTAGTTGTGACCAGAGACACTCGGACTTGATATTGTGAACTGACTTGGTGAAGATGTGTCGCTTTTGTGCTTGATGTGGATCATCTCCGTTGAATACTCTTGCGAATGTGAGCTGATGAGTGGCGATGTCCAATGTTTCAGTCCCATGATCGGTTGACGTTCGACGTGGAAAGCCTTTACATTTTGCTATCGTTTCAAGAAAGTGGACTCCAATGCGGCGAGGATCACTGTTGTTGATGCCAACTTTCAAACTAAGTACACGTTGTGACCACGCATTGATGAAGCCGTAAATGGTTATCCCATGATGTTTTAATTTGTCGTGACCGTTGCTAGACCAGATGTGATTGGGTCCAGGTACATGGAAGACCCGGCGCTTCAATCGGTTCTTCTTGCGCAGCTCAACTCCATCAGCATCAATAACACTCAGCAGTTCCGATACCGAGGCCCGATTGATGCGTATTGATTCGGCAGTTGCCATTATATGAGCCATACGTCGTGTGCCTGCATTGACATCAACACCTTGTTTGCGTTCTATGATTTTGGTGGCAGCTTCCTCCACGGTGATGAGACCAAGTTGAATATCGTCTTTACGCCAGTTCGACCCTGATGCCGCCAACAGGGTTTTGAGCTTGTTGAGAGTGAATAACAGGTAATTATGTTTTGTCTGTATAATCCGGACAACTTCCTTTTGCTGCCATCGTTTGGTCTTCATAAGGAGAAAACATTCATCTTCTTCAAGCTGACTGAGACGTTGACGTGGAGTGCTCAATTGGAGCCTTCGAAGATGACGTTGTAGAGTCCGAAGAGTCATTTGATGTCGTTTGTGATGGAGATGATCCAAGATCTGCTGGTGAGTCAGGGATTTGTTTTGACATATTTCAATTAAAAGTTGGTCGAGTTCTGTTGCAGGATGGACCATGGAGATGAAAAAATTTGCGATGAAGTGTGGATAAGTGGATTTCAGTGGGATGAGCAGTGAATTTTGAGGTGTAGGACTACATATAAGATAATATAATTGGTGTGTATGTATGTGTATGTAATGCGAATTGGTTGAGGTGTTTATGTGTGAGAGGGGTTGGCGGACCCCACGCTCAGGGCTTCCGTATGTTAGTACCACTGTATCTAACGGAGTGACACTAAGTTGTAATAATCAAGCAAGTGATATCATACAGGCAATAAGTTACCAAGCTTTGTTCTGTGTCCTAACATTTTATTTTATCTTTTGCTTCCTTTTGAATTACAAGGTGGTTTACCACATTTAGTTATAACCAATCCGCCTGGTGATCCCCCGATTTGTAACACCCCTTGAAACTAACATACTTTGTGAATGGAGTGGTGCTTCTGCAGCAATTTTATCAAAATTGCTACCAAAACCGTCAGCCTACAACCCCCAAACACGAAGAAAGACCTGCTTCCATCATGCTGTACTTCCTCTCCTTCAGACCCACTGGATTGATGCTGCCACACCAAGACAATTCCAACTTCACAAGTAGGGGTCACTTTATCACAATCATGCGGATTTTCAGTGACAAGTATAAAATCTGCCAGGGGACTCCTTTATATCAAGGATGGACCCTTACCAGAGCTCTCATATTTGACTGTGTGTTATTTTGTGATGCTTGCAATTCAAACCAATTGCACCTAAGTCTCTCAACAAGCATAACATTGGATTATCTTTCAGCCCAGTCTATTGTCATGAACAAGATTGTATATCCTTGGTATCCTTGGTCAAATGGCTTCAACAATGTTACACCTGGCCAGATATTAGATCACCAGGCCAAACTTAACCAATGATAGATATTCTACCAGGACTGGGGGATTTATTGTTAACTTGAATTGTTTCTCATGCGCAGTTTTTATGAAGGATGGGTTTTCTTTTCTTTTCAGGGTACTAATTTTTCTCACCAAGTAATTTGTTATGTATTCCTACTAATACTTTTCATTTGTCTCAAGATGGCTCATCATTAAGTAGATTTAGTTATTATTTTGACTGATTTTCTCTTTGATTCATCATTATCAGTTGTTTCTTTTGATAATTGTTGACCAACATATTCTTTGTCATATTCCTTTTGAGGTGACTGGTATGTGCAATTGGTGATAAGATTCTCTGGTGGAAGTTTGTTTGGCAAACATCATAACTTGTCAATCCTCTTTCAAGCCATTTTTAATGAATCACTAGTTATCTCCTCCCTCAATGTTCAATTCAGCATATTCATCTAACATTATACACTCATCAATTTTCTAAAGCTTAAAAACACATTTTTGTAGAGTTTTAAAAAATACCTTGTCCCGAAGTAAAGCAAAAGCAATAATTTCCACCGAAATAAAAAAGTAAATACTTTGCAGAAAAGAAAACCATAACCATAAACATAAACATAAACAAGAAACAAGTATCAGGATTTGGAATCCAAAAGCGCTAATCCAAATCTTCCCCCACCAAAAACGGGGAAATGAATACAAAATGAATATGAAATGAATCTGATACAAAAAAAATGAAAAAAGATATCTATAAATAAATGTTAATAATATAATAATAACAGATAAACAAAATAAATGAAATAAAATTACAAAAACCAGAGAAATACAAACACATTCATCTGTCACATCACTTTTTTTTTCTTTCTCCATTCATCTTTTGATTTTTCCTTGAATTGGTTCATATAAAAATTAAAAAAAAAGAAACTTGTTTGGAATCAAAATATCTCTTCATATAAAACTTTGTATCTAAATGATCAATGAACAAAATCAAACACACAAACACAAACACCTGGGGCACGTGCACTTAAGCAATTTCTGGGGAGAAACGACATTCTGCAAATTTCAAATGTCTATTTGGTGGAGTGTGTTTCCTTTTTGCATTAAAAAAATAACAGAATTGGATTTCTGGTAAGAATTTCCTTAAGTGAACGCGCCCTTGATGTGTCACCTTTTTGCATTTCATACCATACACAACCTGACTAATCATCAAATCACAAAAACCCACCTCCGGACTGAAAAACCCTTCACACCCCCAAAACGCCATAAATTTCAAACCAATCAGATGATTCCCCAACTCTAATCACCCAATTCAAAGTAAAGCCCTATTTGAAATCAGAAAACAAACTGATCAATTCTCTGAACCTATCCTGCAAAAAAATCCCCTTACATCGCCATAACCTTTTAGCATAAATGGCCAACACAGGTGGTACAAACATTCAGACATCAAAATTGATCTAATTCCTAAACACCAACAATACTGTTTTATGAGGAATCCAACACAGGGGTGGTTCCCTTTTTTTCATTCACATGAAGAAATGCCCATACTTCTCTCTCCCACAAAGGGTAAACTTCAAGTGAACACATCCACAAAGTTTGGTAACCAATGTGGATGTGGTGTGATGTTCATCCCATTGTTATCATATTTCCAAACCACAGCCTTGTTGTTGGACACATTGGGGTAGTTTAGTGCCAATAAAATAGTCATTACTGAAGGGAAAGCAGTAATTTTTGTTTTCTTGTACATACAATATCTATATAGCCAAGAACACACTAAATTAGCTTTGGTCAGAGAGCTGATGACAGGGCACTGAGCGTGTCAAAACTTACTCAGTGTCTTGAGCTTTATGCGCACAGATGATTGAGGAAAGTCCATTCCTTTCGAGGAACAGGCATGCTGCTTAATAGCTGTGATAGGAGCTCCTGGTTTAATAACATTACTTTTACTAATTGGATATTGAAGATTGCACACACCTGAAAAAGAAGGAGCATCCCTGTTTCACTGCAAGAAAGTTGTGAGGTTTGATTCCTTACCTAAAGAATCAAAGAGATCCTCAAGTAGTTCCATTTTTGACTTCCAAAAAATTCAATCATTCTATGTAAAATTAACACTTCTATGATAATAACTTCAATCCATGATTGGTCTTGTAGCAATTTGGTTGAAGTGTCATTCTTCCGACTTTTTCCTGTGCATAGATATATAGATTGTTAATAATCCAATCTCTTTGATAGAAATTTGTTGGTCACTTACCAAGGCAATCATCTCCCTGTGATCATATCATCTCGTGTATTGGAATTTTCTTGTTCTCTTGTTTCCTAACCTAACGTTAAACATGTATAAACTTCTATCAATGATTTAAAGGGTTAGATGGCTCACGTATACTTGGTGAGGACCTCAAGTCCCTTCCGTTATACAAACAATTAATCAAGTTGATACATGGGTACCTTGGTCATGACCAAGTTTTCTGTTGTCAATCAATTTCATGATTGCTTTGAGTTATAACTTAACAAGGGGATCAACTTTAATTGAATTAGTAAATCTATGAAAACGTAACAGGGAATCATAATCAAACAAATTATAAACGTATAAATGACACAAATAAATTTGTTCCACCATAAAGCGTTAGGAGTATGATTAGTGATGGACTCTGATTGAGAAAAATATTCCAAATGAAGATCACTGAAAGATATATGAAGACCATTTCTCAAAAACATGAACAAAGAAAAGCAGGGAAGTGGAAAAGGATGACACGCTTTTGGGTGAGGGTGAGAAACTCATGGACAGCCTACATTTGCATGGTCTGCTTCTCAAGTGTTGACATTGATGTCCCAGCTCAAATCTCAAGAGTTGCTTAAATAAACGCAGATGAGAAAAAAAGGTCTCCCACCAGTAAAGCAAACAACCAATAAAAAGTTATCCATGCTTGGATCAGTTGAGTCAGAGATGACAAAAGCATGATTTTGAAAGTGTCCAGCATGACTTACAGTCACATGTCAAGGATGTGACAAATTGTACTCAAATCCTGCCCTAGTGATATGAGGAGAGTCTCACAATGGTGACTGGATGGATTTGAAATTGCTTGGTTCCCAGTAGGTTCCACTACATAAGCAGTGAGCCAGGGGGGAAGGAGGAGGAAAGAGTATATAGCCAGCAAACTAAGCTGCTGACTTCCGCAACACAACACAATGAGACTCAAGCTCATTACCGCAGCGCAGCGCAGAGTAGAGTGTAACACAGTCACCCGCTAGTTGTTCAAAAAAGATTGCCTCAAAGTCGCAGAGTGGTTGATGCACAATATTTTGCTATATAGATTGGGTGAGTCGAGTTGGAGTCTAAGATTATGAGCCACAACTTCATCAGAACCTTCATATCATCAACTCCATTTGACCATTGATGACCCCACAGCATTTCATTCAATTCTCCCACGAAGTAGGTTTTGTACCATAAAATCCAACAAGTATGCACCTCATCATCATCATCATCAAGTTATCAATAAGTAAGCTTTTCTGTTATTTCAGTTGCATTGATACCTAAAACAATTTGTCCTTCACATTAACAACTTCATCATTCAAACACGAAAAAGGCCAATTGAAATGTGAATGTCAAATTTCAAGAAGTTCGAGTTTAAATTATCAAAGATATTGAGACCAAGATCCGAATTCATCTTAATCTAATTCAATAATTGTTGAGTGGAACTCAAGTTGAAAGCTGTTCAAAATCCAATCAAACAATAATATATGAATCAACTTGACATCTTCATCAATCTCATTTAAACGTCCAACCCAATCAATCTGATTAAAATTTCCAAGATGAATTGGAATCATTCTTTGATGGTTATTGAATTGTTTCATCTTGATCATTTTGTATTGATGATTTTGATACTTTAGCTTTAGTTCCAATACCTAATTTGCGTAATCAGAGTAATTGACCTGATGTAAATTTGATTTCAGATATTTGGGCTTGTGATCAATATTGAAGTTCAAATGAATCTGAATTACATGACGTGAATTCCAAACAAATTACAAAAATTCATAAAGACTTTCACAAGATAATCAATAATCAAGATAAAGTGGAATGGAAAACATTGGTTCCAAGTCAACATTCAAATGGTTCATCACGCTTCTAGGGGTATTGCTCCGCCATATTGAGGAGTAGACCTGCACCCAGCCCGTTGCGGAGCGGCCACTGCGCTATGGGATTTTCATTGCCCCAAAGTGCGTTGTGCAGCCTTTGCCATGTAAAGCGCAGAGATTGTGGTGTCACAAAGCGCTGCGCAAGCGCTCCACAGTTGGAAGAAATTGCCCTTTACAAACAATGTTGTGTTGGACACCAATGAAGGGGTGAATACCAAGCGTTGTACTCCCCCATAATATTATGGCCATAGCTTGTTAGTATCTGCCATATAGGATAAATTAATAGCAATTCAACGGCGGGTGCCGCACTGTGAAATATTGAGGTTTGTAGATGGGGCAACTGGCTCTCAGTGCACTTGCTATGGTGTCCCTGATGAGCGACCGAGGACCACCTTATGTGCTATGCGCTATGCACAACCAAGGGACAGCTTATGCACTATGTGAAGTGCACTACATGTGTATGTAGTTTGACTGATGTCGTTCGCGACCGGTCAATTTTAGAATCTCGAATTTCATCATTGATCAACTCATGAGACCTCACCTCACCTCATCACCAATTGATCTCATATCAACATCACAGGATTCAAAAACTCAGATCACAACTCTTAGTTTCAAATTTTGAGGATCTCAATCCGGTTAGAAATGAGAACCTCGTTAACAAGGATCTCAATTCTATGGTGTCCCTGATGAGCGACCGAGGACCACCGTATGCGCTATGCGCTATGTGCTACATGCACTATGCGTCAGACTTGTACTTTGCCAAAATCGTGACCGGTTAATTTTAGAATTGACCGGAATTCTGATTTCATCGATCAACTCCTCAGCACCACCACCATCCTAAATTCTCTTTATCTCATCAAACATGTTATATAGGTTGTATCCGACTGGGTGGAAAATGGAGAGCCTGACCAAGATCTTCTCAAAATCTTTGATTGGTCATTACCTCGTTGTGCTCAAAGTTGTCAGTCTTGTATTCTTCTCCTTCACCAATTGAAAATTACATTACCAAAATGCAGCATTTAAATAGCTCAAGATTACTCTGAT